AAAATTACAGTTTTACCAATCCATTCATTACTTTGATATTATTTTTTTTTTTTTAACTATATATATATATATTACATTTTGCTAGTTTTTATTTTCAATTTTCCGTGTTTTTTTTTTTTTGTTTACCTCTTATGTATATATATTATATATTACAAATAAAAAAAAAAAAAAAAAAAAAAAAAAATAAGGAGAAAAATTGTGGATGACAATTAAATAAGGTAAATGAACAGATTAATGAATGAATAAAAACACAATCATACAAAATCGGATATACATTCCAGTATATGTTGTTCATAATATGTAAAAGTCATAAAAAAATTATACAATACGTGGTAATAATTTTATAAAAAAATTACAATTGTGTATATTCACAGTATAGTGTGTGTGCCCTTTCTCACACGTTGTTGTATGGACTGTCTCTTACACTCAAACGAGTTTATCCAAAACGAGTTTATCCAAAACGAGTTTATCCCAAACGAGTTTATCCCAAACGAGTTTATCCAAAACGAGTTTATCCCAAACGAGTTTATCCAAAACGAGTTTATCCCAAACGAGTTTATCCCAATCAAGTTTATCTCAATCAAGTTTATCTCAATCAAGTTTATCTCAATCAAGTTTATCTCAATCAAGTTTATCTCGATCAAGTTTCCCCCAAGCACGTTTACCCAAAGCACGTTTTTTTTTTATACCCCCCTTTTTTTTTTTTTTTACATACCTATGAGTAAGGACTTCTGGCATTATTCTCCGCACTGCTTGGATTTTTTATAGTTTCATCTATGGATAAAATTAAGCAAGCAGCTTCAGTTGCACTATAAATTACATTTCTTTTTATTTTTGTAACTTCAAATATACAATGATCATAAGCATTAATTATATCACCTTGTAAACAGTTAACACCATACCAAGTGTCTGTTGCTTTTTCTGCATGTTTTTTTCTTAATTTATTTAAAATATCTGTTGAATCGAATCCTGCATTATGTGATAAATACCTAGGAATTGATTCCAATGATTTTGCATATGCATATAAAACTATTTGTTCTTTATTACATATAGATCTACTATACACTCTCAATGCTTTGGATAATTGCATTTCTATTGAACCAGCACCTGGTACAATTTCTGCATTGTTAATACATCTTAAAACAATCATAAGTGCATCATTAATTGATCTTTCTACTTCTTCAATAAATTGTTTTGCTCCACCTCTTAAAATAAATGTAACTGTTTTCGTTTTTAAACAATCTTTAAATATATTATATCTTTCATTACCTATTTGTACTTCTTCAAAAATTCCACATTCTCCTAATATATCTTTATTCAAATTTAATAAAGATGTTTGAACAACAGCACCAGTAGCTTTTGCAGTTCTTTTCATATCAGCATCTTCAACTCGACCTGCACAAAAAATATTATTATCTGCAAAATATTGAGTTGCTATATCACCAATTGGTAATTTAGACAAAACAATATTAGCTCCACTATCTTTAATTAGTTTTAATTTGTTGAAAATTATATCCCACTCTGCTTGTACAATCGAATTATAATCATTAGGATTGTCTATACGTACCTCTGCATTTTCTTTTTCTGCTTTTAATTCCAGTTCAACATTTAATAATAATATTTTTGGATTTGTGAATGTTTTAGGTTGTTGTTCAAATCCTGCATAAGAAAATGTTTTACTAAAAGCAACACCATAAATAAGTTGTGTATCCAAACAAGAACCACCAGTCACCTTTTTAATTCCTACGTTTCTTTTATCTAAAATATCACCTAATTGGTAAGCAGCATTTACTACAAGTTTAGCAAAAAAATCTTTATGGTTTGATATTAATTTAGAATTTAAAGCTGTTTGAGCACATTTTAATAATATATTTTTTTTTTCTTCTTCACTTTTATTAGAAAAATTAACACTTAGTTCATTTAATTTTTTTATTACTACATTACATGCAGTTCTAAAACCATCAATTATTATATTAGGTTCAATACCATCATTTAGTAGACCTTTTGCTTCATTTAATAATTCTCCTGCTACAACAACAACAGACGTAGTACCATCACCTACTTCGTCATCTTGCGATTTAGCAATATCAACTAATATAGAAGCTGCAGGATGTGATATATTTAATAAATTCATTACTGTTGCACCATCATTTGTTATTGTTACATCTCTTTCATTATAAATCAGTTTATCCATTCCTCGAGGTCCTAATGTAGTTTTTACAATATCAACAATTATTTGACATGCGTTGATGTTTCTGATTATTTGACTCTTTCCCTGGGCTTTATCCGTTCCATCCTTTAAAAGGACGATAGGTAATGACTAGAAATGACAGTGAAAATAAAAAAAAAAAAAAAAAAAAAAAAAAAAAAAAAAAAAAAAAAAAAAAAGAGAAATGAGCGGAGTGAGTATGTGTACATATATAAGAATCATGTACCTACACAAAATCAACAAAAAAAAAAAAATAATATTATTAACATCATGAAAAGCATATACACACACACATAATAAAATATTATAAACAGATCTCAAGCGTAAATATAGAATTAAAAAAATGTTTACTAAAAATGTGTATACATATGGGTCACGTAGGATATATGTGTATATTATTATTATTATTATTATTATTTTATTTTTTTTTTTTTTTTATAAACAGGTAGATATATTTTAAATATAACTTACCATTAAATGACTCATCTTGTAGATATATAAAAAAATATGTACTATTTTACTATAGTACTATTGTACTATATTTGTATATATTTACTTATTACAATATGTTATATTCTATGATATATTAACACGAGGTTAAGTAAATTGTTTTAAGTCTCTGTTTTTGTTAAAATAAAAAATAACAAGTTAACTGTAGCTTAACATATGAAATTAAATTAAATAAAAAAAAAAAAAAAAAAAAAAGTACATTCAAAAAAGTGAGAAACAAATCGTAATTTAATCTTTTAACTAATTAATTATTTATTTTTTGTTTATTTTTTATTTGTTTTTTATATATTATTTTTTTTGCTTATATTTAGAAATAAAAAGCAAGCGGAAACTAAAATAAAAAATTATTTATATTTTGAGCTTACCTTGTCATTTTTATGGAAAGTATATTTATAAAAAATATATATATATATATATATATATATATATATATATATATATACTTGCATACGTACGTACATATATATGTACTATATCTGATTAAAATTTAAAAATGTGATTTATTTGAAATTATAAAACTTTTATTTAGTAATGTACTGCGCGTATGCCAAGTAGTAACATATGTTTACATAAGGTATAAGCACATATATATATATATATATATATATATATATATATATATATATAATATGTACTACATACATTTTAATTGCCATGTTAATACGTAATAATGTTTTTTTTTTTTTTTTTTTTTTTTTTTTTTTTTTCAAGCAATTTCCTAATTTTTTAAGCCTTTACGTTCCTACACCAACTGAACAAATGAACAAATAGGTATACATATAAAAATATAGTTGTAAAAATTTGCAATCATGTCAAAAATAAATAAGCCCCAAATGTTGTGCGTCATATAACATTTTTAACTATTGTATAAGGTGGAAAAAAGAAAAAAAAAAAAAAAAAAAAAAGTGGAAACAGGTATAGTCCGACTCTTATACATATGAGAGTAATATGCTTATATATATATGTATCTATTGATCCTTATAGTGCTTATACTTTTATGATATTTATATAGAGGATAAAACAACAAAAAAAAGAGAAGATGTAATAAATTGAAAAGAACAAATGTTGCATTTTATTATTTAACACTAATAATTTAAGTTTAAAGTCTTTTTTTTTTATAACCATTTTAGTGTTTCATTATTTTTCTTTGAGTATACACAAAAAAGTTTTCTACTTTTTTAAGGGTTTTTTTATTAAAAATTTCGTTTGTTAAAAATTGTACATATTTATATGTATACATTTTGTGACTAGTGTGAGTGCTGTTTGTTTTTACCAACCTAATGACAAAAGGACTAAAAGGGGGAAAACAACGTTTCAAATGGATGAATATATATATATATATATATATATTGCGATAAGGCTGAATCTATGCATAAAAGTTCATAGTTTTTTTACGCTTCACCAGTTATCGAAACAAAGCGCGAATCGAATGTATACATATATACATACATACACCATATATATATGTATATACATTACCAGTGGTTTAAGTCTAAATTGACTTCATTACTCATTGTCTGTTTTTTTCTTAAGTAATTTACATGTATTTTATATAATGTAAAAAAGAAAAAACTAATTTTTTTTGAAATAAAAAATGAGAATAATGAAATTAACATATTAGTATATTTTTAAATTATCAATTTGAAAAAGTGAACGTTTTCTTTTTTTTTTTTTAAATCTCCTTAATACCGTTTAAAAATTGATTGTTTAAAAATTGATTGTTTAAAAATTGATTGTTTAAAAATTGATTGTTTAAAAATTGATTGTTTAAAAATTTATTATTTTTAAATTGATTATTACAGCTGAACTTGTCACAAACACGAATGAGTAAACAATCGTAAAAAGCGAACATAAAATAAGTAAAAACAAAAACATTACAATTTTTAATAAAAAGGGATTATTTTTTTGTTTATAAAAATGTACAATTTTTTGTATTTATCCATTATATCCACCCTATTGGTTTTTATTTTTTTTTATTTTATTTTTTTTTTTTACCATTTTTTTTTTTTACTTAAAAATATATATATATATATATATATATATATTTAAAATTAAATTATTTAATAAAATATGTATATATGTATACGTGTTTTATATTTTTCACTTCATTCATTTTGTTTTTTTATTCAATTATTTATGTGTTCTTTTGTTTATTTTTTTTGTTTATTTTATTTTATGACTACGAGCTCTAAAGAGCTCAATAAATTTATTAATAAAAGCTGAGTGATACAATTCTCGTATTGAAAAATATACATAATATTTTACCAACATAATAATAAGTATCTTTGCGGGAGGGGCAGTATCGCTGTAAATGACGACTAACGGATACGCGATAATTGCTAGTTGAAAACTACTCCAATTCCCGTCTCGAAGCTGCAAAGCTGAGGGCAATTTTTGTAGCCTTTTTTATAAAGGCCACTCAACAATTTAATAATCAATTTTTTGCATACTCCCACACCCCATCTTTTTATTCATCTCCATCCATTATTCTTATTTGTTTATTCGTTGGTCAATTGCAGTTTTATTTTTGTGCATACTTATATATATAAAAAAAAAATAAAAAAATTTTAAATTTTAAAATTTCAAAAAATTATAAAATTTCAAAAAATTATAAAATTATAAAAAATTATTAAATTACAATAAAATAATAATAAAATTAAAAAATTTAATAACATAATAATAAAATTATAAAATTATAAAATATGTTAACCTAAAAATTTTGTATTAGCAAATTTATTCAGTGAATTCAGGTGGACTTTTTTGTAAATATGTTAAATATGGTATATTTGCATTTTTCTGTTTGACTGGACTTGTTTTATATATCACTACGTATATATATATATATATATATATATATACTGGTATGTATATATTTATGCGCATAAATAAAAAAAAAAAATTACATCATTATGTTTAAAACGTACATGACTCCATTAAACAAAGTAAATAAATAGAGAAGGAAAAAAAAAAAAACGAATAAGTAAAAAGTACAACATATAATGTATATGAAATATGAGTAAATCTTTGTTTTCTCTTTGTTGTTCATGCTAGTAATATGTGGTAAAGATATATTTTTTCTTTCTTATTTGATATTGAAGAAAAAAAAAAAAAAAATAATAATAAATAAATAAATAAATAAATAAAAAGTGTTTTTTTACATATAAGAAGAAGGTTCAAATTGTTATTCAATACATATAAATATATATATATATACCCACTTCAATAAATAAGTATATATAAAATTTGTAATGTCTTTATGTAGAACGTAAAATCATAACATGTTAATTAAGAGAACTATTTTCGCTTTTTTTTGTTTTTAAATACGAATTACTCCTTAATTTAATTTGATAAATATGATAAGTTGCAATTTAACTTAAATCAAGAATGATCATAACATATATATATATATTACCAAATAGGACATTATTTCACTCTAACTATAAATAATTTTACAAATAATAAAGTGAACAAACTGTGTGGAAATAAAAATGTACATATTTTCATTATATCTACATTACTACTTTTATGTATTATTATACTTATAACAAATAATTGATAGACATTCAAACATAAGTAACTTTTTTTTTTTTTTTTTTTTTTTTTTTTTACTTTATTTTTCTAGTGATTAGTTAGTAAGGTATATAGTAACTTTTTTGAAAAGATAAGGTTCACTCGTATACATACGCACATACATGTAAAATATATAGACAAACAAACATACACTTGTTTTAACTAAATCATACTATTTAAGAATGCAAAACCTATATTTTTTATAATGCTACTTAGCTTTTATAAAAATCATAGTAACTCTTGTCACTAGGTTTATTTATTTATTTTTTTTGAAGTTGATTTTTTTGCTTTTGTTTTTGTTTTTATTTTTGTTTTTATTTTTGCTTTTGTTTTTATTTTTGCTTTTGTTTTTATTTTTGCTTTTGTTTTTATTTTTGCTTTTGTTTTTATTTTTGCTTTTGTTTTTATTTTTGCTTTTGTTTTTGCTTTTGTTTTTGTTTTGTTTTGTTTTGTTGTTGTATTTATTAAACTATTATGTTGTTTTATTGATTTATTATAAGAATATGGTATTATATATTAAGAGGTTACGAAAATTTTTAATGTAGCTAAAACATTGTTTAAAAGTTTTTTTTTTTTTTTTTACTTTTTTTTTTTTTTTTTATAAGTTAATGAGATCAAAAAATAATGAATAGTAAAGAATTGTACAGAAGAAGTAGTATAGCAACATAATGGTCGTTTGTTTTTTCTTTTATTAGTATAAATACATGTTGGTATATAAGTAAATATTTTATATTTATGTTTTTACCTACTCACTAATTTATTTCGTTTGCTTACTCGCTCGTTTATTTTTGCTTTTTTTAATGACTTAATTTTTATTTTTTATTTTTTCAATTAACTAATAAATTAAACTTTTTATTCATTAATTGAAACGGAAGAAATTAGAAAAAAAAAAATATATGCATATATATATGTACATTTAAACAAATTCATTTTTTTCTTTTAAAAAAAAAAAATAAATATTTATATGTATATAATATATGTGACAAAATAAAAATTAAAAAAAATATTTTAGTAACACAATTATTGCCTGAATATATTATTTTATTTTTTTATTTTACTCTCCTTTTTTATCTTTTTTAAAATAACATTTTTATCGCTTTAACTTTTATCTATTTAAAATGAGTTTTGAATTAGAACAAGAGTTTTACGTCCCTCCAGTAATATTATTCAACGCGTTTACCGACGCACAGGTGTTGACAAGATTGTCTAGGGGTGCCTTGGCTGAAGTGGTTATATACATATACCTGCATATGTACATGACATAATAAAGCAACATCAAAATTTTTTTTTTTTTAAGTTTCCATTACTTGTGTCATATTATTCTTTACATTTTAAGTTACATATGTATTAGTTAACTACGTTATTTTTGTTAATTCAATGTGTGTATAAAACTGTACCAATATGTACTAATGTGTTTGTTGTTTGTTTTCATAAATCACTGTTCACATTTGATGAAATGTGCGTAGTATATATATATATATATATATATATATATATATATACATGTGTATGTATGAATGTACATGTATGAAAATGCACATAAAACTTTTATTTTTACATATAGGAGTTAAAAGTAGGAGGTGATTTTAGCATGTTTTCAAAAAGTATATATGGGAAATTTATAAAAATTGATAATCCTAACGAAATTATTCAGACGTGGAAATTTTGTGATTGGAATGAAAATGATTACAGTCAAGTAACAATAAATTTTATACCCATAAAAGAAAACCACACTTTAATTAAATTGAAACATGAAAACATTCCATTAAAAAATAAGTATAATGAAGGTTAGGAAAAAAAGAAAAAAAATGTTTTATCTTGTTTGTTCTACTTTTATTTACAACATCTTGCCACACTAACAGTTATATTTCTTTTATGTATATACACGTGTCTATTTTAATTATTTTTACTTTTTTTTTTTATATACTTGTAGGGGGGGTGTTAGAAAGATGCAAACATGGATGGACTGAAAATATTTTTAGAAGTATCGAACTAGTTTTAGGATATCCAAAAAAAAAATAAAAATAAACGTTTGTGATTTTAATTTCAACACGTATAAACGCATATACCATATGTACATACATACATATATATATATATATATATATATATATATTATGAAGGATATCTTGTAAAAATTGTGTTAAAACAATTTGGACAATAAAAAAAAAAAAAAAAAAATTCATGGTAATTAATAAATGTTTATTAAATATTGACTAAAATTACAGCATATTCTAGTAATACAATTATTTTTACTTTTTTTGCTCCTTGTTTTTTTTTAATTTTTATTGCACTGAACTGTTTAAGGAAACACACAAATAATGACAACAACTCATGAATATTTTATTTTATTTTTTTTTTTATTTTTTTTTTTATTTATTTTTTTTTTTTTTTAATATAAAAAAAAATTGGTTTCTTCTTCTCAATTATGTAATCACTAAATTGTTGTATTTTATAAACATGCAAATATTTAAAATTACTCATAAATTTACATATACGTATATTACTTGATATATGAAAACATTGCAACTTTTATATAGGGGCTATTTCATCGACGCCTTGCTTCTTCATTAAAAACTTTATACATATACATATATATATATATATATGTATGTCTTTGTTTTTTTTTTCAAGTACATAACCGTTTTATTTTCTTATAAACAAAGGGGATAAAAAAAATGAAGTAAATAAATAAATAAAATAGCCCTCTATACGTAATAATAAAAAATTAAACGAAATAAAATCAAAGTTTCCTTTATTATTATATATATATATATATATATACATGTATATACATATATATATTGTTGTTTATATAAGAGCAAGTAGCACCGTCTTCCTTTTTCTTATTTTTTTTTCCATTATATAGTTTTAATCATTTATATTCATAAATGTGAGTATATATTTTATAACTCAGATGTATGTAATCTTCTAAACGAGTTTATAAATTTTTCTACATGTTATATAATAGGGAACATTATAATTTTTTTTTTTTTTTTTTTTTTCTTTTAATCTTTTTTTTCTTTTAATCTTTTTTTTCTTTTAATCTTTTATAAATAAAAATAAACAATAATAAAAAAAAATGAAGTAAATTTTTTTTTTAAATATATAAATAAATAAATGTATAAATATATAAATAAATAAATGTATAAATATATAATAAATAAATGTATAAATATATAAATAAATAAATGTATAAATATATAATAAATAAATGTATAAATATATAAATAAATAAATGTATAAATATAT